CGGGTTTTTTCTTCGTTTTTCTGTTGAGTTTTTTTTGTTTTATTTGTCTGCCCCTTCTTCTTTGTTTTATTTTATTGTCTTTGTATTCTCTAAATTCTTATTCTTCAACATCTTCTACTATTCTTCTTTTGGTTTTATTAGCCGTTTTTATCTTCTGCTTTTTACTTCTTCTTGATCATTTTTGTCGTATCCAAACATTTTTTCTTTCTAATTTTTGTTTGTCTTTTGCGCATCTTTACTTTCTTCTTTTTTATTTTCTTTTTCATCGACGGATTTTCATCTTCTTATACTTTATTTTTTTCATCTACCATTTTTGTTCTTCTTTTTCTTTCAGTTTTCTTCTTCAACTTTGAGTTCTTCATCTCCTTATCATTTTTCTTCTTCACTATTTTGTGTTTCCCATTTTGATCTTATCGTTCATGGTCTAGGACTTTTTGTTCATTTTTTGTTCATTTTTTTACGTTTTCGTCAACTCTATGTTCTTCTATATGTTTCAATTTATCTTTTTCTCTTCTTTTTCTACTTCGTTTTTCCCTTTTTTTCTTTTTCTGTTTTCTTTTTCGATTTTTTCCTATGCGTCCTGCTAGTGTATTTGGCATCTCTTACATTATTCCAAAAATAAACAGAATTCAGAAAACCATACTTAAAACAAACAAAAAAAACAAAAGACTTAAAACCTGTTCATTAGACAATGAAGATGATTTATGATATGTTGACATAGTTTTAATCACGTTAAGTAAGGAAGAATAACTGACAACACAAAACAACAACATATAATCAAGAAACACTACTACTGGTACTGAAAAACGGAAAAAACAATAGAAAAAATCGAAAAATTAATTTATAAAAAATAAAGATGGTAAACAATACATCGAAAAGCCGACCAATGTAGAAACCAAGCCACAATTGAGCTTAAGATACATTTAAAAGGTAATATATTTATACATAGCTCTCAACTTAAGCTAGGATTTCCCACATCACATGTATATTTTTTCCCAAATAATTTTGCTCAATAGATAATCCTATTAAAATTATCTTAATATTATCAAAATAACTAAAAGTTGCAGTAAAATTGTTATACAAACTACGAAAATAAATTAATTAATTAAGGATATTTTAAAAAAATTTTATTAACGAATAAAGGGGAAATAGTTACCTAGATTGAATGAGAGACCTTATAGCGAAAAATTTACTTCGCATATATTATATATGATATGATTTTAAATGTTTTTTTGATTTAATTCTAATTTTGAAATTTTCGTTATTTTCTATTTTAAATATTTTTTGATTAAATTTCGATTTTTAATATTTTTTATTAAATTTAAATATTTTTGATTAAATTTCGATTTTTAACAATTTTTGATTAATTGATTTTTAATATTTTATTTAATTTACGATTTTTAATAATTTTTAATTTTAAATTTTCGTTATTTTCTATTTTAAATATTTTTTGATTAAATTTTGATTTTTAATATTTTTTTATTAAATTTAAATATTTTTTAATTAAATTTCGATTTTTAACAATTTTTTATTAATTTATTTTTAATATTTTATTTAATTTACGATTTTTAATTATTTTTAATTAAATTATAATTTTTAATAATTTTTTTATTAAATTTAATTTTAAAAAATATAAAGAGGGTAATTAGCCCCGCTCAGATTAAATGAGAGAGCTTTAACTCAAAATTTTACTTTGCTTATAATATATATGATAGAAACTTTTAACTACTCAAAACCTATTAGCTTTGATTAGAGATACACATATCCATTATATACTATGTTAGACACAACTCCAGTTATTCTTATTATTTGAAACATTACAACGTAACAAAGTAGCAAAACACTCTTTCGATGATCAGTCTTTCATTTCTATAAAACAAAGTTTGATTCCTGAGACTAAAACTCTTACAAAATCTCAAAAAGAACATCTTACAGTGTAGAATTTTTTTCGTTTGTCTTTTGTTCGTTATAAGTCATATTGGTCTCTATTAAGTATAATTACCTGACGTTGGATTTTTTTTTATATATAAAACATCACCAATATCTATCTCATGAACATGTGTAGAGATTTTTTTTTTCTATACATACAAAAAATAAAAGGTTACAAAAATGTCTCTATGTGATGCACTATCTTTACTACACAAATAAGTGGAAAACCTGAAAAATACTAATCTGTGTCTCTCTCTGAGATTTTGTTCTAAAAATAAATACCAAAAGTAGGAATAGAAAGTTAAGGATAAACTGAAGACTCCACAAACAACAAAACAAATGCAAAATGAAAGAAAAAGCTTTTTCCCTGCAAAAGTATAGAGAAAACACACTCATACCTAACTTTACTTCTTTCCTTTTTTATCATCTTTCCTTTTTCTCCGGAAAAAATTCCGAATCAACAACAGAAGAAACATCTTATGATATTATGATGAAGATATATACATTCAGTTTATTAATCTGCTTGTTTTCTAAACTCCAAGGTCACAGCAAATCAGATATCAACCTTGGTTTTACTCTGACTCTCTCTTCTCCTGTAGTATACACTCCCGGATTTATGGGCAAAGCTTATATAAAAGAGACAGAATCATCATCAACAAGAGAACCCGCTTTCAAAGCCGCCTTAACGATGGAATCAAGCGATGATAATAGACGATATGTGTGTTCTCTCCAAGTTTTCATTGGAGATGTAAGAGTTTGGAACTCAGGGCATTACTCAAAGATGTATGTTTTTAACAAATGCATCTTCGAGCTCTCAAAAGATGGAGACATGAGGCTAAAGAGTAGCAATAAACACGTTGGATGGCGAAGCGGAACCTCAGGACAAGGCGTGGAGGTATTACAAAACATCACAACATTATATTGGTTGGAAAAAAAATCATTTTACTGAAAGAAGATGTAATTGTGTTTGGGAATAATTTGTTTGCAGAGGTTGGAGATACAGAGCACAGGGAATCTAGTGTTGCTTGATGCAATGAATCTGATCAAATGGCAAAGTTTCAACTTCCCAACAGATGTGATGTTGAGCGGTCAGAGACTAGACGTGGCCACGCAGCTAACCTCATTCCCAAAAGACTCGACTTTGTTCTACTCTTTTAAAGTCCTACGCGACAAGATTGCTCTTTTCATCAACTTGAACAAGCTCAAATACTCATATTGGGAGTACAAGCCTACAGAGAACAAAACGGTCAATTTCGTGAGACTAGGGTCAAAGGGTCTTGAGTTGTTTGATGATAACAGCCATATAATAGGGAGGATAGAGCAACCATTGATCAGATTCATGGCGATTGGGAACAAAACCGGGAATTTAGGACTTTATTCGTATAAACCGGAAAAGGGGAAGTTCGAGGCATCGTTTCAAGCGGTGAGCAACACTTGTGATCTTCCTGTTGCGTGCAAACCATATGGAATCTGCACATTATCCAAGTCTTGTTCTTGCATTGAGGTTGCGAGCGATGGACATTGCAACATCAACGAGGAAGAAGGGCATTTGATGAAGAAGAGGTTATGTGATCACGAGATGGTTGAGCTAGAAGGAGTCACTACAGTGCTAAGAAACGGTACAGAGGCTAGAGACGTAAGCAAAGAAAGATGTGAAGAGTTGTGTAAGAAAGATTGTGAGTGTAGAGCTGCGAGTTACTCTGTTTCTGATGAGCGTTGTGTCAGTGTTTGTTGATGAGAGA